TCATTTTAGATCATTTTAGGTCATTTTAGATCATTTTAGGTCATTTTAGATCATTTTAGGTCATTCCTTCTTTTAGTAACTACGAAGTATTTTGATTAAAATCAAAGAAATAATTGCTTAGTCATGGTATATCCCTCCTCCGTTAAGGAAATTTGACCTGATGGACTGGTACTGCAACTTCTTATGCCGAAAAAAAAAAACATCATGACCGAAATACTACTGAATTTGATATCTGTTGATAATAACTTCACATAGATCATACGATGAGGTATTGTTATCGGACTGGGCGATTATCACCGTTCGTCGTGACCTCAATGGGGTATTTTAATAAGACGCTTATACTGAATGCAGTCATGGTTGCTGATTTTCTGCTGGAGATTGATTGCCGATAGTTTATAATGAAACCAAATCATACAGTCAAATAGACAGAAGAAACCATTCAAAAGAACACTTTTCCAGCTTGTACTATATAATATTGACTGTCAATCGTAAGTTATAATCTTACTAGCTAAGTCAACTTTACCTTCAACTGACAAGAGAAGTTGTAGAAATGATGTATARCACGRTTCCCTATCCCTCAAAGTACTGGAAACCGGTCGTTACTGTGTCACAAATTAGGTAGTTCGTCTGTAAACCATCCACAATGTCAATAGGTAWWGCGAACACATGCCGTATGCCAAAAAGCGAACTTCCCCCTCCCCCTTASACTTTTTTTTTCTTTTGTCAAATATGAGAAAATTCGAAAATACTATATTCAGTATCAGATCAATTCCTTTTTGAAAAATAACTCACGCATTAATGACCGCATTTTTTCCATTATACCAGTTAAAAGTTTGAAATCAAAATAATTATTTAGAGTTGACAACAATAATTYGAATAATATGGGGGGAGGGGAGGGTATTTTGGCTATCACGTGCCAAAGTATTCCAAGCGAACAAAATGGCACCCTAGCGATGGTATGTTTACCCGATTGGTTTTTTCCTGTTTCTTTCATGCAAAAGGCCTCTAACTTAGCTACATCAACTATTCTACTTGTTAAAAGTGTGATTTTCATCACAGAAGTCTTGTATACCGAAAGCTAGTGTATTTATTAGCTTTTGTCGTTAGTTTATGGTGTCTGAGTGTAGCTGTTGTCRAGATCAGAGATGTATACAATAACAGAGAAAGAGAAATATTGACTGGAGTGAAAAGATCATGTCTTTGAGAACACGTATCAACGGTTTTACAGCCTGGGTGAATTTACGTCTAGCCCCAACAGGAAACTTCATGCACAATATTTTAACTGACTTACTAAAAGGCTACAACATGAAGGTGTTGCTTGAAAGTATGACTGGACGACCTTTAGAGAAACTTCAAAGCTTTGATAATTTAACAGCACAGCAGAAGACGACAAGAGTTGAGTGGATTGTAAAGGAGCTCAAAGCTGTCAAAGTGATTCCCAAAGAGACGTTTGTAGATACAAGGATGTTTGCAATGAGGTCAGCTGAACAAGTATTCGAGTTGCTATGGTGTCTAGTTTGTCATGATATCTGGTATGTATGGGAAAGATCAGAATTTTTGCAAAAAGAAAGTGGAACAGCACTTGTGTCTAAGCCRTTCCATTGGACACCTCCACCACCCCCACCAAAGACACCCACCCACACCATTGAGAAGGATTTCATGACTGGATTTGGYGCCAAGTCCATAAAACGGACACCTGTTTTGACACCAGAAGGTTCACCAAGCCCACCACCATCTACGTCTGAGGAAGGATCACCAAAACGGCGAACTAAAAACTTCCCATCCCCTGAGTACTGCATTCTAGACATGGTGAATGCTCACTTGAGACTGAGCCGAGAGGGACGCAAGTTAACTAGAGGTGTCATGAGTCTTGATGATCTAACTGACAGCAGAGTTTTATGTGCACTCATAAACTCCTTTGTCCCCGAGACATTTACCACTGAGATCCTACTTAAYGAYAGATGGACAATAAATCTAAGTCTCCAGACAGCAAATGAAATGTTCAAATCTTCCAATCCATTTGATTCACAGGATCTTGTTGAAGGAGACGTAATGTCTGTGTGTGCATACTTTGCCTTTTTCTTTATGAGTGGCTACAAGTACCGTCAATCTAAGGCAATGCTACAACGACTTGATGAGCTAAACGTCTTAAAGATTGGTGTTAAAGATGAAATTGAACAATTTCCTGACTTTGTGACAAGCATGAAGGATTTGAAGAGAAAGAAGGAACTTGATAACTTGATTCAAGAATATGATGAAGAAATTGCAATTATTGAACAGAATTATGATGTGACCAAGTGTGCTGCATGGATTAAAGAAATCAGTGATGTTCAAAATAAGGTGAGAAACACATTATTTTGTTGTATTTATTGCATTATCACAAAATTTCTGATGATTTTATACTTAATATTATTATATTCAGGTTGATTATTAGACATATAAGGCATGTGCATCATGATTAAATTAAGTCCTTTATCTTCCAGTGTCGTGCAGCTGTCTCCAAGAAAATTGCAGAACGTTTTGATGTAGTCCGTGTACCTAGAAACATTACTATTAATGATTTGGCTCTGGAAATGGTGATTAATCTCAGCTTGACATGCGGTACTGGTTTCTATAGTAGTAAATCTACTGAGAGTGTCTGGAAAGGGCGTAAGCTAGTCATTCGAGACAAAGCAACTCATGTTTTTCATGATGATTTCTCAAGYGGTGCTGATCATAAAACTACTGTACGTCAAATGCTTGGCCTCCAAGATGATGAAGTTGTGGATATCAGCTCTTCACATTACCCAGAACTTGAAATCTTTTTTGAGAGTTCATCCAGGAATAAGATGCTCAAAGCTGGTTCATTGTTTGTTTACCAAGTGTTTCCAGGAACTACATCACAGTGTCAGAGGCTTCTCTTCAAAGCTTCCAAGACAGGAGAACTGGACATTGTCCAAAAACTTGTTGCCTTTTTCCATCTTGACAAGACGTTTGTTGACTCCAAAGAACACAGTTCTGGTAACACTGCACTGCATATGGCAAGTAGACATGGACACTTTGACATTGTTGTGTACTTGTTGGAAAATGGAGCTGCTGTCGATGCACTGAATAACCAACTCAATACCCCATTCTTCCTGGCCACAGAGAGCCTACAAAAAGATATTTGTCAGTTGCTAATTGAATGGGGAACTGATGTTACAAGAAGAAACAGAAATAGCAAGACAGCTTTTGAGCTAATGCGGCACTACGAGCTCAAGACCTTCCTTGAAAAGAAGTCAAAAGAGTGGTCTGAATTGGTACCAAAGTTAATTTCTGGTGATGTTGAATGTCTTGCTGAAGTGATAGCTGCACATCATCGCAAGGAAAATGTCATGGCGAGCCTAAAGAGTAGGTGTGTTAGYGGAAGCACTCTCCTACACACTGCAGCCTTCTTTGGCTGTATTCCTGCTATYAAGTCTTTGTTTTCTGAAGGTTTAAATGTAAATCTTCTTGATTACAAGGGAGCAACACCACTTCATAGGGCAAAGAATGCTGAAACTGTTGACTTGTTACTTGAAGCAGGAGCAGCCATTGATGCTGTCGATCATGACKGCAACACTCCACTTCACATCAAATGTTATGGTGAAACAGGAGAAGCTACTGATTTAGAATGTATTGAAAAGATGCTGATCAAAGAAGCTCCATTAACTGTGCRCAAYGACAGAGAATTGATGCCTATTCATTGCTGTGCCATGCAAGGACGCATTGAYGCCATCAATGCCCTYGTGTTCTTCGATACTCAGCAAAGTATCAGAAAGAGCTTGGATAATGAGAAYATTGAGGTTCCACCAAGTCTCCCACATCTATCCATTGCAAATGACCACCCTGAATGTGCCCAGTGGTTGGTTGATAATAAATTTGAATTCAAAGATAAAGAAATAGATGTCCTGGTGCACAAGATTTTGTTGGAGCAGATCCCATGCTCCAAAAGAGTGGATACAATACAGTTTTTGCTCAGGCAAGGTGCATCAGTTAATCCTTYGTACCCAACAGGAAAYACTGCCCTTCATCTCACTGCTGGACTTTCCAATGCATCTGATCTCCTTGAACTGTTTCTCTCTTTTGGAGCGGATGTTAATGCTTTGAATGACGACTTGTGTTCACCACTGTTTTATGCTACTCAAGCAAACAACATGTTTGCTGCAAGTTTGTTGATTCAACATGGAGCAAATGTCCGGTCAAGGAATCTGCAAGGRCTAGCAGCCTTTGACTTCATCACTGACTTTGAAGAATGGATTGACTGTGGTTATTTCAGTGAGGAAATCAAAGCTCGACTTAAAGCTTACAGTCTCAAGCACGCAAGGGATTTGGTGAGAGCTATAWCCAGAAAAGTACAAACTACTTTAAAACCACAACAATCTGTCATGGTAACAAGCAACAGGAAAACACCCTTCATGTTACCACCTATTGCCAAGAATCCTTCTTACTGATTCCTTTCCGCTTGTTTATACTATCCAAAGAAATACGAAAAGTAAAGCAAATATATAAAATACAGTGTATGWAGATCTATATTTTTGATTTGAATTAAAATGATACCTCGATCAAAAACCAAACACAGACAAAACTTGTTTGCCTCCTCTCATAGAATTCAAAGGAAAATATACATGAAAACGGAGTACAATGAGGAAAATACTCGAAGCAAGGAGAGAAGAAAACACCAAACAAACTAATACAAAAGTAAATCGGTACTTTTAGATTTCAAATTGAATTAGACAACCGTTTTTTTTATTTATTTTTTTGTGGTTACTTGTTTAGACTTTTAGAGTCGCCATGGTGTGGTGTGATATACAACTACAAAATGTTTGCTCACAACGTTGGCATTCGTCTCCAGAATGGCAAAACTCTCGATTTTTAAGCATATCTAGAAAAAAAGGGGACTTGTTTTTTTCATTAATATAACGAAGTATAACGTGTGGTCTTTCGGTGTGGTAGTGGTGCAGGCTCGTGCAGATGTTTTTTTGTAACCTCCCGTTAGACAGCAGTATGTGCAACTATCCTAAACAAGAATATAAGGAGTTTTCTAGTCTGATGATCAACAAAATTGCCACAGTTTCGAGACATCATTTGGGACTGCCTGGTTACGATGTATAACGAATGACACAGCGGAATAAGAAGGCTGGTTTTCACTACGCCAGGCATAAGCTCCATTGTTTAAAATAGTTAGAAACTACTGCAAATTTTCTATAATCAAAATATATTGTGATACAGAGTGCGAAGGGTTAAACCGTGATTGGACTTAGATGTGGCTTTCCTCTGTAAACAGGCGTTCTTAGCAGTTCGATTCTCCCCCACTAATTACGGAGGCCAAGATGTTGCCGTGCGGAAATTAACACTGCCCGTGATCCTTAGCTATCGTGAAGGGATACAGTCAATTTCACACAACATTTGACGAAAAGAGCTGAAAAAATTTTGTATTTTGTTCGAGCTTCCAAATTTGGTAGATACTTCACTTATGGAACTTGAAAACTCCCCAAC